CAACTACAAGTACTTTGACCGGGTCATGGCGTACCTTCGCACAGGCGTCTTGGACGTCGACGGCCTCTCCGAGTCGGCGATGCGCCAGCTCGCGTACACGCTCCGGGTGCTTGGCATGGAGTGGGTGCTCAAGCCGTCGGTGGGCTCGCCAAAGCGCTCGTCCCGCCGCGCCAGCGCTGCCTCGAGTCGCACGAGTACGACGCCAACTTCAGGTGCCAAGCGCGGCAACCCATTTGGCAACATGAAGCGCGACGACTTTGAGTCTGGTCCCGCCCCGACCCCAGGCTTGGGTTTTTCGTTTGGGACGACAGCGAGTGCTGCGCCCAGCGCGAGCTCTTCGAGTACGTACCCAGTGCGCAAACATTTGTGTACGACATCGCTGACATGACTTTTAGGTGTGCGGACCAAGGTCGAGGCGAGTCGACCAACAATTGTTGCTGCTGTCGAGAAAATCCGGCAGCAAGAAGAGCAGCGCCGCCTGGCCACGAACGTGGTTCTGGACGAGTACCTCCGCACGGCAGCGACCATTGATGACGACATTGGGGTGCTGCAAGCGGCGCGGCAACGCCACAACACGATTCAGAAGTTGACGCAAGCGCAAGCCGCCATTGCCGACGATGCGATCCGCCTCAACGTCGGCGGTACCCTTTTTGAGACCAGCCGCGCAACACTCTTGGCCCTGCCCGACTCGTACTTTACCGCGATGCTTTCCCAAGGCCACTGGACGCCCCGCGAAGTCGACGGTCGACAATTTGAACCTAATTGTTTCTGGTCCTCAAGAGATGTATCATTATTAGGCGCCTACTTTATCGACCAAGACGCGACGTATTTCGAGTACGCTCTGGATGCACTGCGCCAGGGCTCGCTCAACACCAAGGGGCTTCCTCCCACAGCCCTCCAGCAGCTCCATTTACTGCTCAATTACCTCCAGATGGACTCGTTGATGGAGGCATCGTAGCTATCCTTCTTTATCATCCAAGACTGCAACCTTTTTTAGTGTTATGGTGTTGGGGATAGGGACTCGTACATAAGAGCAACTTCAAGCAAAAGCCCTTGGCAGCGTTTTTGGATGTTTAGAAGCCATAGAAGAGACGCTGCTATCCGGCGTGGCCGTTCTTGTTGCCAGTTGTCGGTTGGTCCATGGTTTCACATTTACCAAACCGATGGTGTTGGCAGCGACCTACGCAGCAACTCTGAAAGAGCTGCGAACGCTGCGATGCGATGACTCAACCAAGACGGCGGAAATCAACGAGGCCTTCACGGAAGTCGACAAGAGTTTAGCGGCTTTGCTCAACGAGCTCCAAGAGCTCCAAGCGTCCGAGGCAACCGAGAAAGCGCGGCTCGAGACCAACGCTGCTGTCGCGCCCAAGACCATCAAGCTCAACGTCGGTGGCCGCGTCTTTGAGACGAGCAAGGACAATCTTTTGCGGGATGCAGACTCGTTCTTTTACGCGATGGTGACGAGCGAGACGTGGCAGCCCCGCGCACGGGACGGTACAATTCAAGTCGGTGGCTTCGCGTCTTGAAAGTGCTGTAGGCGCCTACTTTATTGACGGCAACTACACGTACTTTGATCGGGTCATGGCGTACCTTCGCACGGGCCATTTGGACGCCGACGGACTCTCCGAGTCGGCGAGAAGCCAGCTCTTGTTCACATTGCGGGCGCTGGCCATGGAGTCCATTCTTCCAACCCCACACCCCTCGACAGGAGGGGATTCTCCGTATGGCGCCGCACCCGCCTTTGGCTCTAGAGCCCGATTTGGCTTTCGAGGTTCACCCTTTGGGGTGGCACAAGCAACGGGCTTTGCAGGCCCAGCGTTTGGTTCCGCTTCCGCCAGTACTTTTCGAGCCGTACCACCCGTCTCTGCTAGCAGCAACGACAGGGCATCGACCATCCCAGGTACGCTGCCTCCCGACGCATGAAGGTGTACCCATCGTTCTTGCTAGTCGCAGCCTCGACCACGACCCTCGCTGCCACGCTTCAGCGTATTCGACGAGCGGAAGAGGAACGCCAAAAGGGTATGAAGAAGGTCACGGACGACTACGAGCGATCGGCCGCCGCTATCGAGGCCGAGATTGCAGCGCTGCGTACGGCGCAAAATCGCCGCAACACGATTCAGAAGCTCACGCAAGCCCAGGCGGCCATTGCCGACGACACGATCCGCCTCAACGTCGGCGGCACTTTCTTCGAGACCAGTCGCGCAACACTCTTGGCGCTACGCAGCGGCGCGGCGTTTTGCAAGCAGCCCGACACGTTCTTTCAAGCGATGCTTTCCCAAGGCCACTGGACGCCCCGTGACGACGACGGTTGACCGATGCCCTTGGTTGAAAACGCTCAGGATGGCGTAGGCGCGTATTTTATCGACCAAGATGCGCGGTATTTTGAATATGCGCTCGACATGCTGCGCCAGGGCACGCTCAACACCAAAGGGCTCTCAGCCACGGCGCAAAAGGAGCTTCATCGTCTCCTTGATTTCTTGCAGATGAAGTCGTCGTCTTGAGGCCACACTGTGACCTGCTCATAGTTGTGTTCTATAAGAGAAAGATGACCGAGGAAAATAATGCACCCGTCATGATCGTATGAGCAATGACGGGCACGGACGAGTGCGCGAGCTTGAGAAATCGCTGGGCGCCCGCACTTGGAAGATCAATATCCGCAGTCGATTCCGATCAATTGAAGATGCCCTTGTCCAAAATAACGTTACCGGATCGATGTTATACACCAGAGACGTGGCAGCACCCACGCACGACGGTACCCATGGCACACGTCGTACAGTATTGGTTGTTGGTGCATGCAGCAGGTTTCGTGACCTCGACCGCCCGACACGAGCTCTAAGTACGCCACTGCTCTCTGCGGCATCAGTAATAGTATACTCGACTTGATACCAAGACGTGCATGCAGCGAGGACACCTTGCTCCCGTGGTGCAAAGCAACTGCCCGTGGTCAGATGCCAGTTGAGAGCCATATAACATCGCTCCCACTTGTAGTGCGAGCTGCGAGGTTGAAGTCACGAGGCGCATTTCGCCAGGTCGTTTTCTGTCCTTGGACCAAGCGATCTTGGCTTTTTTTCATGAATTGCGATGGACCTGATCAGCCGGCCGCGGGTAGATCTGTCTATCTCGACATCTGTGTTTCCAACGGCAAATCAAAACGATTATGGTCTGGGGCAAGTTGCCCAAGGCAGCCCCCAAAACGGAGTAGACATTTTGGGCCCCAAAAGTGTCCTAGCACTCTGCTGGTGCCTGCGCATGACACGTCCCTCCCACGCGACATCTTCGCCAACCAGACAGTGCAGCCATCTTGGCCCGAACAAAGCGACCGCTGGTGCGCTAACTGTACACAATCTGCGTGTCTAAATCCGGGGTGTAGATTCGTTGTCGGAGGCAGCGCGTCGAGACACGGTGTTGGGGCAGTTGCAAGAGATTTTTGAAAAGTAAAAGCAGCGCATGCAGACAATATAGGAGCTTTCATTAGATTTCACCGAGGTTGCCGCAGCAATCGGCGCGGACTTGACGGAGCTGCAAATGGCGCGCAGCCTTCGTATAGCGCTCGAGGTCCTGGGAACGGCGACTGCGCAACACGCCAGCGACACAATCCACTTAAACGTGGGCGGCACGATCGTTGAGAGTTGCCGCGAAACGCTGCTGACGCAACCAGGCTCGTACTTCTCCACGATGCTTTCCCAAGGCTACTGGCGTCCCACCATGTCGATAGTAGCCTTTAGATAGTTGTCTAAGATGCGAGACTCTGTCGTAAGCGCCTACTAATGTAGTACTTCATTGACCAAGACCCAACGTACTCAAAATCCCCGCTTGATGCGTTGCGCCAAGGAGAGCTCACCGCTGTCCATCACAGTGTCAATCCTTCAACTACAGAACCTGCAGATGCAGACAAACCAGTACAGATAACACGACGTATTTGTATTGGAATTTTTTGATACCAGTGTGCACAGTATTGTCAGATACAATTGTACGACCACGACGTGCAACCAAGGACACATCGAGTGGCGCGTCACGCGTTTATTTTGGCATCTGCCACATTTAAATCGATTTCCGGACTTAACCGGAGGGCGCACTTGACCGACCAGGCCAATTGCTTGGCTTTGAATCCCAATACACCTTTGCGACCATGAGCTTTAACTTTGGCGGCGCGGCCGGCGGCGCGACGGGCTTCTCCTTCGGCAACACGGCCTCGGCGGCTCCGGCGGCCGGTGCCACGACGGGCTTCTCCTTCGGCAGCACGGCGTCCGCGGCGCCGGCGGCCCCGGCGACTGGCGCGACCACGGGCTTTAGCTTCGGCGCGGCCGCAACCCCAGCAGCAGCGTCGACGACGGCGCCTGCTGCTTCGACCGGCTTCTCGTTCGGTGGCAGCACACCCGCAGCGTCGACTACGCCCGCTGCTCCGGCCGCTCCGGCTACGACTGGATTTGCCTTTGGGGCTCCGGCGACGCCCGCCGCCGCCAGCACGACGACAGCCCTCGACAGGTTTCGCCTTTGGTGCTGCAGCCCCTGCGGCAGCGTCCACTGAAAAGCCCTCGACTGGCTTCTCGTTCGGTGGCGCGAGCACGCCTGCCGCGACCGCAGAAAAGCCTGCCGCCTCGACAGGTTTCTCGTTCGGTGGCGCGAGCACGCCTGCCGCGACCGCAGAAAAGCCTGCCGCCTCGACGGGCTTCTCCTTTGGGGGCTCGAGCACCACGACAACGCCTGCCGCAGCGACCAGCGCGGCGCCTGCGACGACGGGCTTTTCGTTTGGTGGCTCCACCGCTCCTGCGACGCCGGCTACCACGGATGCGAAGGCGCCTGCGGCGACTGGCTTCTCGTTTGGCGATGCGGCCAAGACGGCAACGCCGACTGCTACGCCCGCGGCGACGACCGGCTTCTCGTTCGGTGATGCGGCCAAGACGGCGACGCCGGCCACGACAGAGGCGAAGGCGACGAGCTTTTCGTTCGGCGCAACGACGGACAAGCCGGCGGCGACCCCCGCGCCGGCTGCTGGTTTCTCGTTTGGCGCGACCGCGGAAAAGGCAGCAGACGACAAACCGGCGGCCGCGAGCTTCAGCTTTGGTGATGCCAAGACGACGACGGACGCGGCCAAGCCGGCCGATGCGAGCGCGGCGGCTACGAGTACGTCCCCCGTTGTTCGTGGGCAACGGACCTGACGTCAATCTTTCTGTAGCGGCCCTGCCCGCCGAGTACAAGGACAAGACGGTTGAGGTACGCAAACCTCATGTGACCACGCCATGCATCGATGTATTATGCACTAGGACATTATCAACATGTGGAGCGAGCAGTTGGAGAACCACGCGATGGCGTTCACGAACGAAGCTGTGCGCGGTGCGTTCTCGATACCTTGATACGAAAAGGCGTGACATCCTACTCTCTAGTGAGCCACTGGGACTCGGAGCTCATGGAGAACCAAAAGAAGCTCGGGGACCTCGCGGTTGACGTCCGCCGGCTGCAAATGGCGCAGAAGGAACTCAACGCGAACCTCGACACAATCAGCGCGTACCAGCTGGAGCTCGACGCGACGCTCGAGGTCGAATGAAACGAGGTGGTGACGCTGTGGTATCATCATTTATGATGTTAGACGCTCGAGTCGAGCGTGGACAAGCTCTTTGAGAACCACCGGCAGATTCCCGACACGGCCGACATTGAGCGCGAGCAAGGGCTGCAGCTCTCGGTGGACATTGACAATCAGCTCACGATGATGTCGACGGCACTCAAGGAGACGATCGACCGGCTCAACCAGTCGCAGGCGCAGGAAGACGAGAGCGCGAATCCGATGGCGCAGATCCTCAAGGTCCTCAACGTGCACCACAACTCGCTCGTCTGGATCGACGGCAACGCGACCAAGCTCGCGACCGACATGGCCTCGATCGCCAAGAAGCTCCAGCAGTAATTCCTAACAATCTCTATCAACTAACACGTTTTCCTTTCGCTTGCATCTCGACGATTCCAAGCATCTAGAATCCAAGCACCCAAGAACTCAAAATCTGGAGTCCAAGAATCCAAAATCCAAAATCTAATGCAGGAGAGAGTGTACATTACGACAGCGACGACGCGCCTTCGACGAATGCAAGCACCGACTCGTGGAACTCGGTCACGCCCTGCGCGGCCAAGTCGAGCTTGGCGATCGTCATGTGCTCGTCCAGGGCGCATTGGACCTCGGCGTTGCACTTGAGCGGCGCGCCACACGTACAGGACTTTTTGAGGTTGCCACACTTTGTGCACTTGAAGTTGGCGGGCTGGTACGGACACACGTGGCCCTTCTTGGGCTCACCGCAGCGCGAGCAGCGGTAGTTGCCGCGGTTGAAGCGTGCGTCGTGGGCCGGCGTCGCCTGCGCTGGCGTCTCGGGTGGCAGAAACGCGCTCGCTTGCGGTGGCATCATGTTCATCTGACCCGCAGGCGTCGGCGACGGCATGCCATTGCCGCTCATCACGAAGCCGCCCATGTAGCCGCCCATGTTGCCAGCATAGTAGTTGCCTTGGTTCATCCTCCGCCGGTCCGCGACTTTCGCCCGTCCTTCCAAATGACCATCCGGATACAGGCGGATTGGAAAGTTCGGCTTTTGTTCGACAACGACCACAGCGGGCCGTCGTCGCCACGATGGTAGCGCCATCGATGGAGCCCAGGAGCCTTCTTGCAGTCGTGCAAGTCATCATGCGAGTGCTTCCACCTCATGTCGGCCTTGGCTATGAACGACTGGCGGATATCTCGGAGAGATAACGGGTGGGCCATGTTGCGCCGGCAGCGGGCTCGACCGAGCGCATGGACCGTGACGTCGAGAGCAAACCGCGATATCTCACTGTGGCAGTGCATGGGTGGCAGCCATTGCCAATGACAGAAGATCGCAACACTGTCACATGCTCCTACTATATATATTGCTGTTTGTCATCGCCGGCTTAGCCTAATCGAGCCTGCTTGGCCAGCTGTGCAAACGCACTCGCATCGTTCGCGAGCAGCTCGCTCGGGGGTCCGTACTCGGCCACGCGACCGTCGGCCATCACCAGAATCTGGTCGCTGTCCAGAATCGTGTCCAGACGGTGCGCAATCACAAGCAGTGTCACGTCGTGACCAAAGCAGTCCTTGATGGTTTCTTGGATGAGCCGGTCGGACGCCAAGTCGATGCTGGCCGTGGCTTCGTCCAGCAAGACGACGCGGCTCTTGCGCAACAAGGCGCGCGCGATGCAGAGCAGCTGTCGCTGGCCCACCGAGAGATTGCCGCCCTTCTCGGCGACCTCAAACTCAAGAGTTGAGATGGCGTCGCCCAAGTGCACTTGCTTGAGCACGCTCCAGAGCTCGTCGTCGCTCGAGCCATTGGACGGGTCCAAGTTGAAGCGCAGCGAGCCCGAGAAGAGGACGGGGTCTTGCGGGATGATGGTGAGCCGCGACCGCATCGTGTGCAAGTCGATGGATGCGAGGTCGACGCCGTCGATGAGGATGCGACCAGAGGCCGCCTCGACCATGCGGAAGAGCGCGACCATGAGCGAGCTCTTGCCCGAGCCCGTGCGGCCGCAGATGCCGACCTTGGCGCCAGCCGGCACGGTAAACGACACGTCTTTCAGGACAAGGTTGAGGTGGTCGCGGTACCGCATCGCGTAGTGGTCAAAGGTGACGACGCCTTGGGCTGGCCACGACGCGTCGACGGTCGTCGTGACGGCTCGTGTGTCACCTTCGGTCTCGAGGCTGTTGTACTCTTCGAGGCGCTCGACGGACGTCATGATGTTGTCAATGAATGAAAAGAGCATAGTCGTGCGCGAGAGGAAGGACGACATCTGCGACGCATACGTCAGCGCAAGGCCGGCGGCGGCAAGGCCCACGGACGCCTTGGTCGCAATCGACAAGAAGGCGACGCCGGCGATGATGGCGGCCGAGAGCCAGTCGAGACGCATTTGCAGCCAGCGGGTTGCGACGCGATAGATGAGGAAGAAGCGCTGGTTGTAGTCCAAGGCCGCGCGGCTTTTGGCGGCAAAGACGCTGCTCATGCGGAAGGCGCGGATCGTCGAGAGACCGTTGATGGTCTCCGAGATCAAGTTGACGACCGGTGACCGCGTCGTCGAGTCCATGCGCTTGAGGTCGCCAGATGAGACGTTGTAGTAGACTTGAATCTTGTAAAAGAGGTATATCAGCGGGAGGTACAGAATCAGAATGAACGGTGACGTGGCAGCACACACGAGTGCGACGGCGAGGATCTGAAACAAAAACTGCAGGAAGAGGATCCCAAAGAACGGCAGCTGCGAGTCGACTTGGTCCAAGTCACTCGAGAACCGGTTGAGGATGCGTCCCACCGGCGTCAAGTCGAAGAAGGTGTTGACGGGCGCGCTGAGCACCTTGGTGAAGAGCCGCTGGTGCAGCGACTTGGAGCAGAGCAGCACAATGAAGAGCACGTAGACGCTGCGGCCCCAGACGAGACCAATCGAGACAGCAGCAATACCAGAGTAAGTCCACGCGGACGAGAGTTGGCCCTGCAGCGACTCGTGCGTGGACCAGTAGCCCATGAACCAGTCGAGGATCGCGAGCGACGCTTGGGCCAAGCCAAACGACAAAAGATGGTCGCAAACACAAGGAGCGAGTTGCAGCCACTCGAGCCAATGTACGTGGCGTACGTAGAGCCCGAGACGGCTCCGATCTGCCGCGCCTCTTTGGCCACGAGCACGCCATCGGTTGTCGCCGCCTCCGTCGTTGCCACCACCGACTTGACCGACGCGACATCGTCCTCTGTCTTGGCATGCTCGGCAAAGCTCTGGAGGTCCGGAAACTGCGCCTTGACCGCATCAAACGGCCCGTCCGCCGCGATCGCGCCGTCCACCAAGACCACGACACGGTCCGCGTGCGGCAGCAGATGGTAGTGACTGTTGAGCACCAATAACGTCGTCTTGCTCGCCAAGAGACCTTGCACGCAGTCCCGAAACACCGCGCCCGCCACGTGCACGTCCAGCGCGCTCAGCGGGTCGTCCAGCAAGTAGATATCTGCCTCGGTCCGGTACATGGCGCGGGCGAGACTCACGCGCGCCTTCTGGCCGCCACTCAAATTGATGCCGCGCTCGCCAATCTCGGTGCGGTCGCCGTCCGGCAGCATGCGCAAATCGGACGTGAGCTGGCAGGCCGAGAGCACCGCGCTGTACTTGGCGTCGTCCAAGGCGTCGGCAAAGAGGATGTTGTTGCGCAGCGTGTCGTGCTGGATCCACGGCTCTTGGCTGACGTACGCGACGTTGCCGGTGACGTGGCAGGTGCCGCGCACTTGGTGGATCTCGCCGAGGAGGGCCGAGACGAGGCTGGACTTGCCGCTGCCGACAGCGCCGACCACGATCGTGAGCGAGGCAGGAGCGAGGTGGAGGTTGATGTTGCGCAGCGTCAACGGAAATGACGGGTCGGCGTCCGTGGACGGACTCGCGTGCCACGTAAAGTCGCCGTCCGTGATCGTTACGCTGGGGGTGTCGCACGTGGGATTCGGTGTCGGCGTGTCCAAGGTTGCGCCCTCCACTTCGTCGCTCAGAAGGAACGCACCAATGCGATCGCACGATGCCTTGGCCTCCTGGATGAAGAGAATCGCGTTCGAAAAGGTCATTGCCGGCAGCCGCGCCACGTTCATGTAGGCGAGCACGGTGAAGGCGACATCGACCGTGAGCGCGTTGCCTTGGGCGACGTACGTGAGCAGACACAGAGCGAGGCAAATGACCGGTGCGATATTGAGCGCAATCGTGTTGAAGACGCGGCGACCGTGGTACTGCTTGAGGAGCACGAGCTCTTGGCCGCGGACTCGCGCAACCTCGGCCTCGAGGTGCGCCTCCCAGCCGTACATCTTGACGACGCGGACGCCTTGGAGGAGCTCGTTGGTGAGCTTCACACGCTCCGACTGCACGTTGAGGAGCGCGCGGCGCGTGTCGCCGACGGTCTTGGCCGAGAAGTACCCGAGCGCGAGCATGCCATACATGAAGACGCCGCCGACGAGGCCGACGAGGAAGCCCATTTCGAAGCCGATCATGAGAAAGATGGCGAGGACGGCGACGGGCGAGGCCCACGTCCACGCACCGAGGAGGTAGCCTTGGAAGACGCGCTCCGAGTCGACGCTGGACAAGGTGACAATCTCGCCGGACGACATAGCCCGCTTGGCGAATCCCGAGAGCTTGAGGCTCTTGCGATAGACGACGTCCATGATGATCGTCTTGGCGTTGCAGCCGAGGTTGGACGAGAGGTACTGGCCAAAGTCAATGACCGTCACCGAGACGAACGAGAGGATCGTGAGCAGCGCCGCGAGACCGTAGCCGGATTCGAGGCCGAGCGACGTGGGCTTGCCTTGGATGTACTGCAAAAGCGACTTGATCACGATCGGCTGCAGTAGCATCAGGAACGAGTAGACAAAGTAGAGCGCGATCGTCAAGATGGAGTCGCGCGCCATGGACCGCCAGAGCGCCTTGTGGAACGCTGGCTGTGGTTTTGTGAGCTCCTTGGCCCACTCGGCATGGACAAGCGCGTGAAGACCTTCGGCCGAGTCGGCGTACCGAACGGGCCAAATGTCGGCTTCCTTGAGCGGCGACGACGCGCCTTTTCGGATGAGCGCATCCATCCACGAGATCAAGACGATCGAGACCCAGCTCGCTGTCTCCATTGGGTGCTTCTCATCTTCCGTGTTGACCTTGGGCTCGTCGCTCGTCTTTGGCGTCGCTGCCTCGACGTAGACGTCATCCAGGCTCATGGCGTGGTGTCGCTGCTGCAAATCTGTGACTGGCACTTGGACTTCGTGAACCGTCTGGGTCCAAATTGCACTTGCAACCTCGGAACAGCCGATCCGTCACCCAATGGCGGCCAGTCGTGGCGCCAAACAATCCGACGTGGCATCGGCTCGCGCCAAGGACGTTATTCGCCGTGCTATTTGCGGAGGACGACGACACGTGCGTATATGTATTAGAGTACTGGAGGCTAGGACAGGTACCATCAACGCCGCCACGGACGAGCCGACGATGCTAGTTGAATGCAGCGGCTTGTCTCTGAAACGGCTTCTTGACGTCACGATGAACTTCTGCAGAAGGACTCATCAATGCTCCGGCTGAGTCTCTTTTCACATCAAAATCTATGCGAGCCGATCGGGTTCGGTTTGTGTGACCTGGAGCCTGCTATGTTGTAGGCCTCGAGCCTGGAAGAGGTTGCTCGCTTTACCCTGTCAAGCAACTCGATGCCACAGAGCTCTGCCCACTGCCTACCGTGCATTCCATTGTGTATGCTCATCAGGTGTGGGTTAGGAGAGATGTTGTAGGACGAGCTGGAGTGCAGCGGCAAGGATCAAGCACCAGAGCGTAAATCTTGGCGCCAATCCAGAGTTGCAACTCCGATTTGAAACAGAGTACGGTATCGGTGGTGCTGTCGACGTCGCAGCATCCAGAATCCTATATTTTGGCGTCATATTCCTTGGTACAAGTACACTACAGAGCTCGATGGCCGTTGACTCTT